CATTCAACGTCGTTCCCAGTCACTTATCCCATTGTTTAGGCATAAGGGCTTGGGAACGAGATTATACTTTCATGTCAAAACAATCAAATATCTAACAAGCGAATTCAAAGCGAATAACCACTGATTCTCTTAAGCAAAGACATTAAGAAAGCACGAGAAATGTTGTAATTTTTATAGCCCTAACAATTTACATTTTCCCCGAGTTGAAGCTACAGCCTTGTATTCCCAGAAGGCTTAAAATGTAGGTGTTATGGAAATACAGGGTTAGTCTCAACTCGGAGAATTGCAAATTTTCAAAGCTATTGTAATAACGACCTTTTACCGTGCTCTCTTGTGTTTGTAAGGTCTTTACGCAAGAGAATCTGCTGTCAAATAAAGCAGTGGTTTTTTGCTTTGAATTCGAAAATGGAGTATCAATCAAACAACCAGCAAAACTTACAGTATCATGCAACCATACCTACCAGAAAACACCAACTAATAATCCAAAATATAATCTCGACATTGAGGCTGTTGTGTGTTTATAAGGGTAAACGATGGACCTGTGACGACATCATTGACAGCAAGACAGCGACCGCGGGCTGCAGGACAGCCGAACCAACCCAACACTTCTACTCAATATATTCAAACACACAACCCAAGTCATCTTAGTCATATAGCTAGCCCTAGGCAAAGCAGGCGAGAATTCGCAATGATTCATGGGAAGAATCTAAATCCTCCTCACGAACCATCCAACAATCTTAGTCACGTGGCKAGTCCRAGGCAGAGTCGACGAAATAATGGACAACATCCTGATGGCTATGGTAACGGGTCACAACAGGGATATCAACAGCGGTATTTACAACAGCAGCAGTATCAACAGCAGATACAACAACGACAGCAGCAGCTTCAGCAACAGCAACTACAACAACAACAACAACAACTCCAACGGCAAAGATTACTCCTACAGCAAGAACAACAGAGACAACAAGAGTTACAACGACAACAGCAGTTACGAGAGCGACAGTTACAACAACAACAGCATCAACAACTATTATTACAACAACAACAACAACAACAACAGCGTGCACAACAGCAATTTCACCAGCACCAAGGCTATCATCAGAACGTGGATCCTTCACAGTACCCATCACAATCACAGTATGTACAAAGTCACATCGAACAAAATCCATTTATAAATTTTAATAATTCGAGCAGTCAGCAACAACCACATGTCCCACGGGCAAATATTGTTTCAAAGAGTGACGAACATTTAAAGCCATGGCAGCCTACACATATGCGCTCGAAGTCGGACCCTAGAGCCGCCATGGGGCTAGACATGAAATACCCATATCATCGTTCACCTAGTGACCCAGAGCTGCAGACTAGTCAACCAGCGACGGACAAACTCATTGAAATTGATACGGCTGGACCAGAGAAAGAAAACTGGAATCCGTTTAGTCCTTATTACACTGCTAAAGACAGTGACTTCACCACAGACCCTAACCAATGTGATGACGATTTGGACTTTGCTTCGTTAAGAGACAATCTACCTGGTAAACAACCAAGTGATGTTAATGCTCAAAATTTTAACCCGAGACGAGACGTTGTGCCTGGAGAACCTGTGAACGACGTTCTCTCTCCCGGGGAACTCCCTCCTGATATCGCCACCAATCCATTTTTTCAAAACAGCGCTCTGATTAACGTCGATGTAAGCTCTGATTCAAGCGACAGTGGACGTGACAGCCCGAGCCAGCTTCAGCGAGCGGTATTGCCTCCTTTGTCACCTGGAACCGCTGACCCTTTTGGCGCTGTTCCTTTCAGTTTGCCGAATGCGAAGCCGAAAAAGGCAGAGCCTGTCTCGCCTGACGTCTTTGGTTCAGCGCCGTTTGAACTTGCAGTTAATAGGAATGAAAGTAAACCCGTGGAGGATATAAGCGTTGATAAATCAAGGCGAGGTGAAGAATTGATATCCTTTGGATTACAATTCTCACACAAAGACAGTAGAGGTGAAACGGGACAAGAATCTCCCAAGAATCCTTTCGAATTTGAATCGTTTAGTACTACGTCAGAGAGTGTTGCTATGAGAAACAAGTCACGTGACGACAGGGTGTCAAACCAGGCAAGCTTTGATAACCCTGCTTTGGATTCAGTCGATGCTCCGCATGATCCCTTTGGTTCGGCGCCTTTCAGTACCGGCAAGAATCGCGAGACTGCTGCAGATCCAAATTTACATCAAGGTCCCGCAAGAAATAAACAAGTTGGTGGAAGACCACGACGTCGTTTACCTCAGGTTCCAACAGCGCAGTCCGCTGGAGAACAGTCTGGAAGACGTAAGACTGAACAGAATTTAGTTTTAGGCCGACCATCGAATGCTAGGTAACCGACAGCCTCACGGAGAACAACCCAACAAGAACTTATCTTGGCCGTCATAATGTACCTCATATAAACACATCCTTTATAAAGTATACAAGGCTTGTAATACATAGCTTCCCAAGGTCATGGTTATGTTTTGTTGATATTCTT